TGTCATCTGGAAAGGGTCTTCATGCTGTGCCATCCCATGGCAGAAGGCAGAAGTGTGACAGCAAGACAGCAAGAGGTGCCCAAACTGGCTTATATAACAAACCCACTCCCTCGATAACAACATGGATGCATTTGTGAGGGTAGAACACTTGGGCTCATCACCTCTTGGTAGGCCCTACCTCCTAACACTGTTGCACTGGGGACTAAGTGTCTCACACATGAACTTTGGGGGACACCTTCAAACCCCAGCACCTCTTGACCCTGCCTGGCTCTCACTTTGCTCCAGGGCTGCTTGAGCGGCCAGTGCTGCCACCGCCTGTGTCCATTGACACTGCCAGCTACAAGATCTTCGTGTCCGGGAAGAGTGGTGTGGGCAAGACGGCGCTGGTGGCCAAGCTGGCTGGCCTGGAAGTGCCTGTGGTACACCACGAGACCCCCGGTGAGTGGAACCTCAGTCCTTTGCCCATCCTGGGAGGCCCTCCTTGGGGTAGGGGCAAGAACCTGGCCCTGGACCACACAAGCCAGGGTTGATACCCAGCTCCACATCCTACTCTGTAGCCTTGGAAAGTCACTTCCCCTCTCTGAGCCTCCATGGACTCCTCAGTCCCAAGGGGATACTAGTACCTAGCCCACAGCGTGGTTGTGTGGTTGCTAGAGGTAGTGGCGGTAACATCCCTAGCATCAAGCCAGGCTCAAGGTAGAGACTCAGGAAATGCTAATCTTGCTTTCTTGTTTCTTACCACTGGATGCTGATTGATCCACCCTGTTGAAACATGCCCAGTGTCCTGGGACCTTTGATCTCCCTGCACATACAAACAAAACGGCTTTGCCATGGCTGGGACTGTATCTTCCTGGTATGCCAGAGGCTCCTCCAGGGCCAGTCTGTTTCTCCCATCAGACTGAGAATTCTCACAGGTCAAGGACTGTGCCTCCCTCATCAAAGTGGGGACCCCTCAGGGCAGGGACGTATCTCTTCTTCCTATTCCTTCCTGCCCCCAGTCCTCCACCTCCACCCCTCCCATGCTGAATGGCTGACCCTGGTTCCCCTCAGGCATCCAGACCACCGTGGTATTTTGGCCAGCCAAGCTGCAGGCCAGCGACCGTGTCATCATGTTTCGTTTCGAGTTCTGGGACTGTGGAGAGTCTGCGCTCAAAAAGTTCGATCACATGCTGCCGGTGAGCAGGCATGTGGGCCTGGGTGGGCTCTGCCAGGGGCCGACTGGGTATTAATGAACTCAAGGCACTGGCTGGGTATGGTGGCTCATGCCTGTAATCCCAGCACTTTGGGAGGCCAATGCGGGCGGATCACCTGAGGTCGAAAGTTTGAGACCAGCCTGGACAACATGGAGAAACTCTGTCTCTACTAATGACACAAAAAGTTAGCCAGGCGCCTTTAATCCCAGCTACTTGGGAGGCTGAGGCAGGAGAATCGCTTGAACCTGGGAGATGGAGGTTGCAGCCGAGATCGAACCACTGCACTCCAGCCTGGGCAACAGGAGCAAACTCCATCTCAAAAAAAAAAAAAAAAAAAGCTCAAGGCACTGCCCTGGGAGTTAGAGATCTGAGCTGGCACTGGGGACTGAGTCCCAGCCCATGCTCGTCCTAGGACCAGCCACATCATGCTCTGGGCCTCAGTTCCCCAATCTGTGAAAGGAGGGATTATTCCTGATTCTTATCAGGGCGCTGCAGCTGATGGGAGGGTGACGCAGTTATATGCCTCTCCAACACCAGGCTTGCAAGGAGAACACGGATGCCTTCCTCTTCCTTTTCTCCTTCACTGACCGTGCCTCCTTTGAAGACCTCCCTGGACAGCTGGCCCGCATAGCAGGTGAGGCCCCTGGTGTCATCAGGATGGTCATCGGCTCCAAGTATCCTTTGGGTAGCCTCTGGGGCTGTCAGAGGCCACCCTTGGCAAGTCATGGAGCAAGGGGGTCAGGGGCCTGGCCTCTGCCCAGGTGTGGAATTCAACACCTGGGCTTGTACTTAAAGGGTACAGCATGGCTAGCCCAGCTCCTGGGTGCGGGTTCCAGGGCGGAGGGGGAGGGGGGGTCTGATGGGGGTGTGTGCAGAGGCACCTGGCCAGGCTCCTTGACCCTCCTCCAGATTTGACCAGTACATGCACACGGACGTGCCCGAGCGGGACCTCATAGCCTTCCGGCAGGCCTGGGAGCTGCCCCTGCTACGGGTGAAGAGTGTGCCAGGGCGGCGGCTGGCTGATGGGCGCACACTGGACGGGCGGGCTGGGCTGGCCGACATTGCTCACGTACTCAACGGCCTCGCTGAGCAGCTGTGGCACCAAGACCTGGTGGCGGCTGGCCTGCTTCCCAGCCCCCCAGAGAGTGCTCCTGGATGAATCATGAATGGGTGCCTATGATCCCGCCCCCCAACCCTCAGGTCTTGACACAGGGCATGAGGCTGGGGCAAGAGCATGGATCCCGTCTGGAGGACGGGGCAGCTTGGCCTGGTCAGGGAGGACGTGGCTGGAGAAGCCCCGCCAACAGCACTTTCCTTGCAGAATTCATGGCATGGAGATGGGGACCAAGATCCTGAGCTCGGACATCTTTCATGGCCTTCCCCCTTTGGCAGCACCCATGGCGGGTGACGGGGAGATGGGGTACCTCTCAAGTGACTTCAATCAAGAACCTGTATTGGTTGAGGTGACACCATCTGTTGTAACAGATAAACACCGAAATCCCAGTGCGGAACTCCATAGACCTGTTTGTTCTCGCATTGGCTTCAGGAGGTGGTGATGATGGGTGTGGGGCTCTGCTGCAGGTACTCCTGCAGAGACCCAGCCCCAGAGACCCTGCCCAGTTGCCCCAGGGCATCAGCACCCAGTCAGCAGCCAGGGAGTGAGTACAGGAGGGAGGTGGCCCCCAGCTTTCTGTGGACCAGGCCCAGGGTGGCACCTCATTCTACCCACTCCAGAGGCCAGCACCCAGCAGTCATGTGGTCATGTGGCACTGTGGGGGAGGCTGGGACATGGAGTCCACCTGTGAAGTCAGGAGTCAAGCCCATCACTCTGCAGTGCCTTTCTTTTTTGTTGTTGTTTTTGAGTCGGAGTCTGGCTCTCTCACCCAAGCTAGAGTGCAGCTCACTGCACCCTTCGCCTCCTGGGTTCAAGCGATTCTCCTGCCCCAGTCTCCCGAGTAGCGGGGATTACAAGTGACTGCCACCATGCCTGGCTCATTTTTGTATTTTTAGTAGAGATGGGTTTTGCCATGTTGGCCAGGCTGGTCTCGGACTCCAGACCTCAGGTGATCCACCCGCCTCAGCCTCCCAAAGTGCTGGGATGAGAGGCGTGAGCCACCATGCCTGGCCTGCAGTGACTTTTGTTCTTTTTTTTGTTTCAGAATCTTGCTCTGTCACACAGGTTGGAGTACAGTGACATGATCTGAGCTCACTGCAACCTACACCTGGGTTCAAACAATTCTCGTATCTCAGCCTCCCGAGTAGCGGGGATTACAGGCACCCACCACCATGCCAGCTAAGTTTTGTATTTTTAGTAGAGATGGGGGGGTCTCATTATGTTGGCCAGGCTGGTCTTGAACTCCTGACCTCAAGTGATCTGCCTACCTCAGCCTCCCAAAGTGCTGGGATTACAGGTGTGAGCCACCACACCCGGCCTGCAGTGCCTTTCTTGATCATGAAGCTGTCAGGCCAGGCTTAGGATGGGAATCCTGGCAGCTCAAGGCATCCGAAAGCAGCACCATGCAGGGCCAAGGACCATGCCAGTGGGAGTCAGTGACCATGCCAGTGGCCTGAGAGGCAGCTCTGCCCTGTGGGAGGCCATTGCCAGGAGCTGGGAGGGCAGTGTGCAGGCCCAGGCTTGTGCCTCAGCCCTGCCCCATGAGCCAGAGACACTGGTCTAAGGAGACTAAGGAGGATGAGGGGAAGGCCCCAGGGAAATGGGCCTTTATACTCTCCCCTCTGATGGGCTCCTGCCCATCTATGGTTCATCCCATAGATGAACCCCTGGGCTGAGGCCTGGCCTGCGTCTGGTCCAAAGCAGAGTGTCCCCAAAGCTAGCTGACCCTTGGAGCGCTGCAGCTCTGCTGAGGCCCCACTCACAGCACCACCTGTGCTCACACACCTGTGCTAGAACGAAAGTGCTTTCCACTCCTGCCTCCTGGCACACACAGGAGGCCCAGACTCACCTGTCCTGATGCCTGTGCCCAAGCACACATGCCCATGCATGCTGCCAGTCTGTCCACCCTGAACACTGCCACCTGTGTTTGTCAACCTAGGTCAACACTGCCACCTGGTTTTGTTTCCAGGGTCTGGGCCAGAGGAAGGACTGATTCCAGCATGTTCTCACTCCTGAGTCTCAGAGCTCAGGCCCTGCACTTATCCCACACCCTGCAAAGGGACCCAAGCCTCAGAGCCTGCAGCCAGCTCCCACTCCTGCAGCCCTCAGCCCTGCTCCCAGGGGGGCCTGATCACATCCCCCTCTGTCCTTAACTCCAGGAGACCTTAGCTCTCCCGGGCAGCAACAGAGCTGGGGTTAGGGCCCTGAAGGCAGCCCCAGGCCTGACTGTGGCCTCCAGCTACCCCACAGCCCAGCCAGTTATTTCTGGGCACAAACCGGGTTTGAAAAACGAGGGTGTTCGGTTTCCTCGTTTGAAATGTAAACGAGGAAATGCATGTCACAGCTCTTTTGAAGACGGAAAGGACCCGCGCGAAAAATGGGATCTGTCCCCTCCCGGCCGAGATCGGGAGCGGACGCGCTTGGGGGTCCCTCACTCTCCCCTCCCGGGAGAGCAGCCCAAGAGAGCAGCCCCGCGTAACGCCGCGCCCTTCGCGAGCTGAGCGCGCCTGGGAGCCGCAGCGCTTCACCGAGGAACTGAACCTGCGCGCGCCGCCGCAGGTGGAGAGGCGGGGCGGGGTCCGCCCGGGGCGGAGTCACCCCAGGGGCCGTAATCCTGACCTTGACCCCAGGCCCGGCCAACCCCGACTCGGACGGCTGGACGGAGCCAGGGCGGCGCCTGCTCCTGAGCAACCCTCGGCCGCAGAACGTGCCCAGCCGGCCCCAGGACTCCTGCAGGGGCGCCCTCCGCAGCTCAGAGCCTGACAGGTGGGACGGGGCGGCGCCTTGGGTGGGCGGGGTCTGCCCGTGGAGGGGCTAGCAGCCCGCAGAAGCCTTCGCCCAACCAAGGCTGATTTGCCCCTCCTCCCAGCGCCTCCGAGGCAACTCCCGCTTCACTCTCTTTAGATCTCTGGGCCTGTCCTTTCCGCAAACTGGGGCCCTGGCCCTGCCTCCCATTCCTGATTCCCACCTGTTCAATCCGCTCTGATGCTCACCTGACGAACACACCCAGCCCACGCTGCGCTCTGCGGGCAGAAGGGTTCTCTGGCAGTAGCAGCTGGCATGTCTCACCTGCCTGTCTTCAACCGAGAGGCTCTGGATTCTCGTAGCATTAGGTTTCAGATTGGGTGGAGGGCTGGGCTTCTGACCCCTGCTCCTCTCATAGATTCCTGGTTAGCGATTCCTGCGACTGCTACTTCTCCAACACGTGCAGGCACCGAGTGGTGAGATGGCTGCTTGGGGCGAGTCCAGCTGGGACCTTAAGTGGGCAGAGGTGACACCAGGACTCCTCTGGCAAGTGGCAGAGATCCTGGCCCTGCACCTCTCCAGGAAGAAGAAACACCGAAATAGGCATTGCCCGCCTGCTGGCAGAGGGAGTCTACACCGCAGCCTTCCCATTGCATGAGGGAGAGATGTCCCAAGCTCAGATCTCTCCCAGACCTAACAGCATGGCAGCGGTGGCTGGGGCATCCGGAGAGCACTCTCAAACCTCCCTGCAGCTCTACCTCCTTTTATCCCCCTAGGACCCCTTTGAACTGCCCTAGTACCAGGTACCCGGTTCAGATCTCAACTCTTGCCAATTGCTGTGCCCATACTGGGCTTGCTGGGGATACTGGCATAACTACCGGCCCCTGGACCACGTATGAGAGTACTTTGGGGAGAAGGTGGTCATCGATTTTGCCTGGGTAAGTAAGTCTGGCACTGGGGTGGGGTTTGGGAGTGGAGCTTGAGTGCAGAGATGGGGGTTCATGAATTTTCTCTCACCCTTCAGGTTTCTACACGGCCTGGCTGCTGCCTGTCAGCCTGGTAAGCACCTTGGTCTTTATCTCTGGCCTTGTCAGCATGGGGACCAACACACTAGTGTGGGTGGCTGTGGAAGGGTTGGGCAATGGGCTGGGTGGGCCAGGTCATCTGCCTGGTTGAGGATATGCCCTTCCAGGATGGGCACCCTCTGCTCACAGAGAGGAGATCTGTGTCAGTGTGGGTCCCACTCTGTGATACCTGTGCCACATGGAATATTTCCGGGATTTGCTCCATGGCCAAGGTGGGCCAGGGAAAGGGGCAAAAAAACCAGGTGGGTGTTTTGGGCCCAACCTGGGTCTGGATGCTGGCCCTACAATGTGCCCTCTCACCCCTCCTTGCCGCTAAGCTGCCTCTTTGACCACTCTGGAACTGTGTTCTTCAGCATCTTCATGGCCTTCCTGGAGCAATGGAAGTGGGGAGTGCCACCTTGGCCCACCACTGGGACTGCAGTGACTTCCAGGACCAGGACGTGATACCCAGCTCAGCCCTCCAGGCCCACAACCCCATTTCCCAGAGTTCTCAGAGGCCATAAGGTGTGCTGGGAAGAGCTCAGGCTTGGAGTCCAGCATCCCAGGATCCAAATCTGGCTTCTCCTCACACTTTTCCTGGGTCGCTTTCCACCCTTCTCTGACATCAGGCTGGGTGAGGTGAAACACTGGGAGTATTTAGATGATCAGCTGGGCCTTGGAGAGAGACCCGCCCTAGAACCAAGAAGGAGAAAACATTCCACCTACCCACCTACCCATCCAGCTACCTACCTGTCTATCCAAACATCTAATCATTGGTCCCGAATCTGTTCACTTCTCACGACCTCCTCTGCCACACCCCAGACCAGGTCACATTTCCTCTTTCCTGGACAGCAGTGACCTCCTAACAGGGCTCCTTGCCCCACTTAATTGGTTCTCAGTTGCCAGGAGGGTGACATTCTGTGTTACCTTCCTCAAAGCCTTCCAGGACAGTCTCATTTGAGATGTACCTGGGAAAACATCCAACCCCCTCACAGTGGCCTACAAGGCCTTGTGTCATCTGGCCTGTGGCTGGTTCTCCCCCACTGGCTCCACCAGATCCTTGAATAGGTCAAGTTCATTTCCACCCTGGGGCCTTGGCACTGGCTATGCTCCCTGCCAGAATCCTCTTCCTTCAACTTTTTTTTTTTTTTTTTTTTTATGGAATCTTTCTCTATTGCCCAAGCTGGAGTGCAGTGGTGCAATTTCAGTTAACTGCAGCTTCCACCTCCCAGGTTCAAATGCGTCTTCTGCCTCAGCTTCCCAAGTAACTGGGGTTACGGGCGTGTGCCACCACACCTGGCTAATTTTTGTATTTTTAGTAGATGCCGGGTTTCACCATGTTGGCCATGCTGGTCTCAAGCTCCTGACCTCAGGCAATCTGCCTGCCTTGGCCTCCCAAAGTGCTGGGATTACAGACAGATGTGAGCCACTGTGCCCAGCCCCTTCAGATTTTATATGGTCTACTCCTTGTCACCAAGCCTCAAATGTCTCCTTCTTATAGAGGTTTTCCCTGACCACCAATCCAGAGAGGCTCCCTCTCACTTATTTATTATTATTTTTTGAGATGGAGTTTCGCTCTTATTGCCTGGGCTGAAGTGCAATGGGGTGATCTCCGCTCACTGCAACCTCCACCTCCCAGGTTCAAATGCTTCTCCTATCTCAGCCTCTCAAGTATCTGGGATTATAGGCACCTGCCACTACACCTGGCTAATTTTTTGTATTTTTACTAGAGATGAGGTTTTACCATGTTGGCCAGGCTGGTTGTGAACTCCTGACCTCAGGTGATCCACCCACCTCGGCCTCCCAAAGTGCTGGGATTACAGGTGTGAGCCACCGCGCCTGGCTCCCTGTTTGAATTTCATCGCAGCATTCATCACTGTATTTTATAGTTTGTTTATTATCTGTCTTCTCCCACTGGCATGTGAGCTCCATGAGAGCAGAGACCTTGGGTGTGATGTTGACTGCTATATCCCCAGTGCCCAGAATGGTCTCTAGCATATAGAAGATGCTCAATAAATGTTTGTTGAATGAATCTGTGAATAATCTATCTTCTGCCTACCCATTTGTCCAGGCATTCACCACTTCATCCATTCAACAGGGTTATAGGAGATAGAAAACCAGACAAGGTATTGTAACAGAGAGAATTTAATATAAGGTATTGGTTAAACAGCTGCTGGGGGACTGAAAAAGCAGAAAGGGAACACTGAGGCAACAAAGCAAATGTCAATGGTACCCCCTGGATAGTGCAGTATACAACTCAGGTGACTCTAAAGAGTGGCCCTGGGCTGGGCATAGTGGCTCACACCTGAAATTCCAGCACTTCCGGTGGCCAAGGCAGGAGGATCACTGATGCCCAGGAATCTAAGATCAGCCTCAGCAATATAGTGAGACTTTCTGTCTACTAAAAAATAAAAAATAAGCTGGGTGCAATGACATGTATCTGTAGTCCCGGCTACTCAGCAGACTGAGGCAGGAGGATCACTTGGGGCCAGGAGTTTGAGGCTCCTGTGAGCTATGATTGTGCCACTGCACTCCAGCCTGGGTGACAGAGCAAGACCTTGTCTTTAAAAAATACATTAAAAATTAAATTAAAATTAAAATTGGCTGTGCACAGTGGCTCATACCTATAATCCCAGCACTTTGAGAAGCTGAAGCAAGTGGATCACTTGAGGCCAGGAGTTTAAGATCAGCCTGGCCAATATGGCAAAAAACAAAAAACAAAAAAACTAATCTCTACTAAAATTACAAAACTAGCCCAGCACTGTGGCATGCACCTGTAATCCCAGCTACTTGGGAGGCTGAGACATGAGAATCACTTGAACCCGGGAGGTAGAAGTTGCAGTGAGCTGCGATCACACAACTGCACTCCAGCCTGGGTGACAGAGTGAGACTGTTTCAAAAAGAATAAATTTGATTTAATTTGAAAAGAGTGGGCTGAGTGCAGTAGTTTATGCCCGTAATCCTAGGACTTTGGGAGGCTGAGGCAGGCAGATCACTTGAAACCAGGAGTTCGAGACCAGCCTGACCAACATGGCAAAACCTTGTCTCTACTAAAAATACAAAAATCAGCTGGGCGTGGTGGCACATGCCTATAATCCCAGCTACTCGGGAGGCTGAGGCACAATAATTGTTGGAAGCTGGAAGGGAGAGGTTGCACTGAGGCAAGATCGCACCACTGTACTTCAGCCTTGGGAACAGAATGAGACTGTCTCAAAAAAAAAAAAAGTCGCCCTGCCTTTGCACACACTGTTCCCTCCCCAGAAAGCTTCTCTCCACTGTCCCTTTAGCACCTTTTCACCTTCTGGGTCACAGCTAAATTGTCCTTTACTCAGAGTGACCATCCATGAAAACGTTTTCCTTCATAGGACTTATATATATATATCTGTGTTCATTCATTTAATGTCTGTCTCACAAACTAGTTTGTAAATTTCATTAGGGCATGGATCTTCTCCAGTTTGTTCACTGCGGCATATTCAGTATCTATTGCAGAGTGATACACAGTTAATAGTTATCGACTAAACTAATAAACTTATCTACTCATCCACCCATCCACCCATCCCATTCATCCATTCATCCATGCATCCCCATGTTCATCCACCATTCAGACTTTGATCTGCTTACCCACCTAACCATCCATTTACCATCCATCCATCCATCCTCATGTCCATCGATCATCCAACCAGACTTTCATCTGCTCACCAACCTAACCATCCGTCCATTCATCCATCCATCCATCCATCCATCATTTCATCTATCCATTCATCCATCCAACCATCCATCCTGATGTCCATCACCCATCCAACCAGACTTTCATCTGCTCACCCACCTAACCATCCACCCATCCTCCATTCATCCATCCATCTATCCATTCATCCATCCATTCATCAGTCCTCAACAATCCAACCAGACTTTCATCTTCTCATCCACCTAGCTATCTGTCTATCCCTCCATTCGTCCATCCATCCATCTACCCATCCATCCTCATGTCCATCAGCCATCCAACCAGACTTTCATCTGCTCACCCACCTAATCATCCATCCATCATCCATCTATCCATCCATCAATCCTCATGTCCATCAACCATCCTACCAGACTTTTATCTGCTCACCCACCTAGTCATACGTCCATCCCTCCACCCACCTGCCTACCTACTTACTTGTGAGTAAACTATACAGATTTGCTGATTGTTTGTCCAGTTTACCCACCCATTTGTCTGCCTACTGTCTGCTCACCCATCAGTCTATCTAGCCCTTTCCCACATGTCCACCCTTTTGCTGTTTACTTCTCCGTCTACCCACCCAACCATCCAGCCATCCATCCACAGGCTTTTAACCATGCCCTGGGGGAAAAAGGCCCTGTAAAACCAAAAGTGAATTAGACCCCATTCCTGTACTTCCAGAGCTCCCTAGGCAGTCAGGAAAATGTAAGGGGCTTCCCTTATCCTAGGATCATGGCACCAGCCTCTCAGCCCTAGGATGGACATTTCTGTTGCCCCTTGTGATAGGAGTGCCTACATCTAGAGTTTGCTGCCCTGGCCCTGCAGATGATCCAGAACCAAGTGACAGGCCTGAATGAACTCTACTCCCCACCCTACAGCTGCCTTTCCCGCCTACTCACTGGCTCTGCAGCCATCCTCACTGTGGTGAGGGGACATTGGGCCTTTGCTCTGAAAGGACTGGCACCTCCAGGGTGGGTGCTCTGGAACCCTGGCAGCCCTCTTTCCATCTCTGACAGCCCTGTCTCCCAGCCCCCAGCTCTGCATGGTGATGATTTTCTTGTTGTCTATCATAATTTAACTTGGCATCATCAGCATTGCAATGTGCTGCACTGGCAACCCCGTGCTCATGACCCAAGTAAATGTCCCTTGGGGCAGTGGAGGGTGGGAGCAATGTTCCAGGCTCCAGGCCTGAAGTAGGCATCTTCAGGATTTTTTCATCCCACCACATGGGTAGGCTCCAGGTAATGGCCCATCACTCTGCCTAGGCTGGCAACATTG